GTAACCAGCCCCTCGACGGGTACACAAGGTGAGCCCTCAGCAACCCCACGGTTATCGGAGTACCCCCTCCGTCAGTCGGCAGTCCAGGGCACTGTGTGTCCGAGTGGATCGCAACGTGATTTTGCCACCCCACTCCACCTCACCCCGTATCTGCAAGCGGTAGATGTGGGCATTTACAAGTCCTTCAAGGACAACGTCTCTCAGCTGATCAACGAGTGGAAATGCTCGGACAAGGTTACGTACACGGAAGGTGGCAATCCGCGCCTACCAGAGCTCACTTTTGTTTCATCGCGGGTTGCTCAGGCTTCGAAGCAGACTCCAGTTGAAGTTGTCGAGAAAAGCGTGCAAGCCTGTGGCTTTAATGATGACCCGAGTGCCTGGCGCATCTCCAAATACGACGTCTACGGCTCGAAGTTCAGAGCTGCGTGGCATCTACGCGAGAGCGGGGACTGTGGTAGCGATCATGAGGACGATATTACTGCAGTTGTGGAGACGTTTGATGAGATCTTGATTGACGATTAAGCTACTCTGGCACAAAAATAGTTAGTTGAGATGCATTCTTAAGGTCAATACAAGGAACTTTCAGAGAACTTGCCATTTCACAGTGCGGAGAATTAACGGGACTTGAACCGACGACAAACCTGCTCCCTTACAGGCCCTCAATAAACTGAAGTGGCTTAACCGGTTGAACGGTCAGCACTGGTTGTATGCAGGTTTTGCCAAAATCGAATATAACGCCCAATTTGTACAAGAAGTATTAGCCCTTTCACTATCAATACGATTTAAAAAAAAACGGAAACCATTAAAATGTCCCCAAATTAATAATTCCATGAAAAACCGCAATGCATATATCAATAATTTAATTTTGAGCACCCTTGACGCCATCTCAAGGTGTGACACCATTCTGGTGGTCTGCAGTGGGATGAATTACATTCGGATAGTCGGCTGTGGTGAGATCGAATGATGTGGCCCGTTCAACGCTTGCCAGGAGAACAGCAACAATTAGGAGTGTGACCGAGTAAAGATGTAAATGCATTATAGCTTGGGTTTGATGACCAGGGTAAAAACAAGTGTGTATAATTACTGATTGCGAATTGATCAATTCTACAAAATTTTGTAATTGCAGGTGTGGGCACTTGTCAAATCTCAATTCGTTATTGGCTTATGATAAAAATTGGCAAAAGTCTTCAAATGGGTACTCTTTTAACTTTAATAAATGCAGACCCTCCAGAATGTAGAAAATGTTACTGTACAAATGACTACTAATATATACTGCTTACTAAGCCAGATCCAGATGCAGGTGGATGTCGGCGCTCTAAGCCATCTCAGATCGAGACATCAGCAATGGCTGCTAAAATACGAGTGAGCGCTAAGACTTTGGTCTTTCAAGTACAAAGGACGGGGATTTGTGTGGCTTGTGCAAGGTTTTCGAGGTATTTGGTCTGAAGAGAGCATGCACTCTTCTTCAATTTATGCAGTACTGACGATTGGGCCAAGAAACAGCTAAAGTAGTCGGGCTAGATCAGGGCTAAAATGAAATATAAAATTGTAAATATTGTATGAAACAATAATGATTGCCAAGACCTTTACAATCTGCACAGGAAATTGACCAATATTGTTCTAGAAGAACGTGGACGAATCGAGACTTCAAACCTCAGTGTACCTGTTTACTTGAAATAATTGAGACTGGTTTTGTTGCAGCAGTGTACAATGGTCTTATTCCCTCCTTCTCCAATTCCATTGTACTTGTGGATTGAAGAGCTCGTCGCACGGATGGCTGCTCTCTCAATTTACTTTGCTGGTATCGTGGTGGCATAATTGCTCTTTCGTCCTATTCGTCCTAACGCATTTGTGGTTAAATCATTCTTTGCTCTCTAGCACGAAGATGTATCCGCGCACTAAAAATCGATATCGAATTGCGAGGGACCTTTATTAGTTCATACTAGAGGGTATTTGGGCTGGTAGTGCTGAATAAAAACACTATATGATCTAGTATATCGTCTGCAACTTACACTGAACATCCTTTTCTTATAGCACAATGTTTGCCGAACCAGCGATGTAAACCATCCAGAAAGCCGTGATATATTTCACTCCCGGAAAAATCATAGTATTCATTGAATTCGTTTCTCCATTTCTCGCCGTTATTTCCAACCAAGTCATATCATTTATTAACGGATACGATTAATGTAGTAGTTCTAGCAACAAAATTGCGGCACGCGGTGCGCCATCCTAAACTCGACAAATACCTTGCCAGTTGGGTCTCCTGGTGTAATGAGAAGGCTGTCACTGTCACGGATAAGGCAATAAGACTGAAGGCAGAGCGCTCCTCCGTGATGCTAAAGCTCGAGTCACGTCCAAAGTGGTCAAAAGGATAGGCTTCATCGGTTTAACATTCAAATCGGACGTGTCAGCAATAATGCGCTCGTGCAGTTACGACAGTTCGCATAGCCCAGAATAGGCATCTTTGACTTCGTATGTATTCCATTTTACAACTGACGGGAGAGAAGGAATAATATCTTGGATTTGTATGTGACTGGCTAACTGGAACCGCTAATTTGTTGCTGTTGAGGGAGAATTCCAAGCTTAGGGATTACTACCGAGAGGATCGTCTGTATAATATACAGTGTTGGACCAACACTACAGCAACGATCGGAGCGTTTGTACTCGATGTCATGTTATGTTGTCGGCTGTGCTGACTGCCCTTCTTGTCTTGGCGAACCAATTCTGTAATGCACTCTGCTTGTGTCAGCAAATTACAAACATTTGTAAGCAAGCTCCAAAGCATAACGATTGTGCTCTCCTCAGTCATGTACCAGTAGTGCAGTAGCACGAATTTACGAAGCAGAACAGCCCAAGCCGTTGATGTACCTATTCGTCAGTGAGACAGCTCTATCACTGTCAAAGATGTGAGCAATCTGTACACTACCCGTAGGATATATTGGACTGAGCTAGCTGACAGATCGTCTGTATGGGCAGTTATTTCTATTCTAAATGGTATTTGTGCATCGTGAACTCGATGCTGGCTAAAACGGCTGCTTTCTTTTTGCATTCGGTAACCACGGGTCACCATCCGCTACTGATCTTGTCACTTGAGAATGAATGTACCTTTCCTCAAATTTTCGCTTGTAATCATTAGGACGCTTCCCCATTTGGCTGAAAAATTGGAATAACCGGGATAACCCGCCGGGAACATATGTGGACCGGTTGGAATTGTGTATAGATGTCGGGATATACGCATTTCAGGTATAAACCCCATTCATCGCGATGAGGTTAATCTACTTCGGAATAGACGTCCTACTAAGATTTAGACAATCTCTCCCGAAATCGTAATGTTCCCGGCGAAAGAATTGTTCATTACCCGATTTCCTCAATCTTAACCGGGCTCACATACAAGACAAAGTCAAACGGCCTCATGTCTCGTCAGACTGCTCGAGGGAGTCAAACTGCACGCGATCACGTCGAAAGAATCCTCTCAGAGCTTCACGAACGCAATATTGAGCGCGCGCTAGACATCATCCAGTACTCAAACGTGGCCCCGCACGAGATCGACGATGAGTCAACTGACACGCCACTGATGGATCCTTTTAGGGAACTAGGAGGCTCA